TGGCTCTGGCTCCCGCACGCCCATGTATGGCTCTCAGACACCTCTCCAGGATGGTGAGTGCTCTCTAGGGGCCAAGGAAGAGGGGCGACATGGGGGAAACTGGAGACAGGACAGAGCTAATGGCACATGCATTTCTCCCATTCCAGGTAGCCGCACCCCGCATTATGGCTCACAGACACCTCTGCATGATGGCAGCCGCACTCCTGCCCAGAGCGGGGCCTGGGACCCCAACAACCCTAACACGCCGTCACGGTGAGGACTGAGAGCTGGTGGGGACAGGGTTCCCTGAGCCAATGGGGGATGTGTGCTGTGTGTGCGTGGTTATGTGGGTGTCTGGGGAGTAGAGGGGTTTATATGGCCCACACTGTTCCCAGCCCCAGGCTGTTCTGGAGAGTCAGCATGGCTGGGGGCAAAGTAATCTCTCCAACCCGAGCCCAGCAGCATGCTGTAGTTAAAACCTGGACTTGGAGACAATACATGACCTTGGTTATGTGATGGGCTGTGTGACTGGCCTGGCAGCCTCATCTCTCTGACTCCCAGTGAAGTGGAGGCCTCTGGATGAGGCTGTTGTAAGGATGAAGTTGCCTCCATTTTCCTGGCTACCGTGCTGTTCTGGATTCATCTATTACATTGTCGTATCACCACAGTCATTCTCAACAGACTTCTTTCCCCAACAGGGCTGAGGAAGAATACGAGTATGCCTTCGACGACGAGCCCACCCCATCCCCACAGGCCTACGGGGGTACCCCCAATCCACAAACACCTGGTTATCCAGACCCCTCGTCCCCACAGGTCAACCCACAGTACAACCCACAAACGCCAGGGACACCAGCCATGTGAGTCCACAGGCCAAGCAGCCTTTGCCCCACCCCTCCCCACTGCCACCGTCTCCTCTTCCCCACTATCTCCAACAAATGTCCTTTTCACTCTATCGCTACAGGTACAACACAGACCAGTTCTCCCCCTATGCAGCCCCCTCTCCCCAGGGCTCCTACCAGCCCAGCCCCAGTCCCCAGAGCTACCACCAGGTGGCGCCAAGCCCAGCCGGCTACCAGAATACTCACTCTCCTGCCAGCTACCACCCTACACCCTCGCCCATGGCCTATCAGGTGCTGGTCAGCTGGCATGCCCTTGGAGGTGGTGGGCTAGGATGGGCCTCGGGCCTATAAGGACAGCCATGCCAGATGATCTGTTCCCAACAGCACTGTCCCTCTTTCCCCTACAGGCCAGTCCCAGCCCGAGCCCTGTTGGCTATAGTCCAATGACACCCGGAGCCCCCTCTCCTGGCGGCTACAACCCACACACACCAGGCTCAGGCATTGAGCAGAACTCTAGTGATTGGGTAACCACTGACATCCAGGTGAAGGTGCGGGACACCTACCTGGATACACAGGTGGTGGGGCAGACAGGTGTCATCCGCAGTGTCACGGTAAGTGGGACCCAGGCTGGGTCCTAGGTGGGCATTCATCCTCCCATCTCCATGGTTACTGCTGTTCTTGTTGTTGTTTAATTGTCTAACTGGATCTTCCAGTACCCATTAAAACTGGAAAGAGAGATGTAGAAAGGCTTGGCATGTAAGTTCCACAAGACTGGGATTTGCCTGTCATGCTCAAAGCCAGGACTGCAGTTGCCTGAAACAGTGACTGGCACCCAGGAGTGTGCTTACTGTGGGACATACGCCTCAGTTCAGTTACATGGACTGAGGGCACCTCTGTGCTAGGCTTTGGCTTAGCGCCAGGTACCCACAGCCCCTGGGCTGTCCCTGTTCCAGCACTACTGGTATCTCCAGTTTTCAGTCACCAGGTTCCCTCCAGCCTCTCGGGGCCTTTGCTCATCGCTTTCCTCTGTCTAGAACTCTATTCCTTCCATTCTTTGTCTAGTTAACTCCTACTCATCCTGCAGGTAAGCACCTAGGCTGTTTTAGGTCTGGCTCTTAAAGGTCTGTGTAATTCTTTTTCATGCTCTCCACCCCTGCCTAAAAGCTTAGTTTACCCTGCTGTGATTCTTTAATTACTAAGCCTGTGTTTTATTTTTTCTAAGTAGTCCTAGTTCCTAGATGTTGGCCCTCTGCTGAATGTTATCTGATTTAATGAAACAAACCTCAGAGACCAAGACAGGCCCTGCTCTCACAGATCTCACTTTCCAGTGGGACATGTCCTTAGTGTCCCCAGACATGTCCCCAGACAGTGGCAGCCCAAGTGGCCAGAACTGGGATGCAGGAAGCCCAGAGGGCAAGGGGAGCTACGTAAACCCAGAGAAGGCACCTTTATACCTAATTTTGGAGGGGATCAGGGAGGGCTTCCTGGAGAAAGACATCTGCACCAAGATCTGAAGAATGAATAGGAATAAACCAAGAGAAATGGCTGAGGAAGGGGTTAATTGTGTTCCAAATAGAGGGGATTTGTGAAGGCCTAGAGGTGAGGGAAAGCCTGGCACATTTGGGGAGCCGAATTATGTTCATTAAGGCTGAAACATAAATAACCAAGGTGGAAGGTGACGAGGCCAGAGAATTGGCTGGGCCAGGTCATGTGCCAGCCTGGGAAATGTGGACTATATGCTGAGGGCACTTGGGGGGTCATGGAGGAATCTAAGCAGGGATCAGATCTGTGATTTGGAATTAATTCACTATGTTGCCCTATCTGGGATGGATTAGGGATGGTGAGACTCAGGGCTGGGAGCCCGGGGGATGTCAGGCTGCCCTACAAGGGCCTGGGGAAGAGAAGAGAGAGGGAGGGAGGGAGGAGAAACCCTTAGGAGGCAGAATGGACAGGCCTCAGAGCTGGAGGTTGTCAGTGGAAGATCTAAGACAAGGCCCAGAATTCTGGCTGAGGACTGGGGACCATAGGGCCATCCCTGAGATGGGCCCAGGAGGAGAGGAACAAGTGTGGGGAAGAAGCTGAAACGTGTTTGGGACATGAAAAGTTAAGTGCCTGAGAAGCAGCTCCCCTTTTGGCCTAAGCTTCATTCTGGTGCTTCTCTTGCTGATCTGGTCACCCCACCCCCACACATCACAGGCTCCAGGCCTTGGAACCAGGCCCAGCCTCAGCCTTTTCTGTGTCACCTTGGGAAAATGCCTTCTTAGAATGAGCCCTGAGCCTGCATCCCCTAAGTGTGAGCATCAGTCCTGTGTTGGGAGCAGGATAGGTTGACCAGGCTCTCCCCACCCCCAGGGAGGCATGTGCTCTGTGTACCTGAAGGACAGTGAGAAGGTCGTCAGTATCTCCAGTGAGCACCTAGAACCCATAACCCCAACCAAGAACAACAAGGTAAGAGGGGTGGCAAGGGGCTGGGCAGGCATTGAGCTGGTAACGTGGAGCCTGACCCTGTGCCCCTTCCCCAGGTGAAGGTGATCCTGGGTGAGGATCGGGAAGCCACAGGTGTCCTGCTGAGCATTGATGGTGAGGATGGCATCGTCCGCATGGACCCTGATGAACAGCTCAAGATCCTCAACCTCCGCTTCCTGGGGAAGCTCCTGGAGGCCTGAGGCAGGCTGGACGGGTGGACTTCAGCAAATAGCTGGCAGATGGTGTCCCTCCTTCCTTCCTTGGCCCTTGGCTCTGACACAGGATCTGGGCCTAGGATGGCTAGCCTGATTGTTCAGGATTTCCTTTATTTTCCTCTCTGGGTTCCTTGTTTTCCTCCTTGAGGTTCATGGGAATCAGAGTAGAGTCTGGGGGAGGGTCCCCATCTTATATCCCCCCTTCCTCAGCTTGCTTTTATGTTATGGTCTTTCAATAAAAAGCTGTTTGGTCAAAAGCCGTGTGTATGTGTGTGTGTAGTTTGTACGTGGGGTCATTTGTAGACCCCACTTATTTCCTTGCTCTGTGATCTTGGGCAAATAAATAACTGGGTCTTACCTAAGCCTCAGTTTCCCTATCTAGAAAATGATACGGCATACCCCAGAGAGCCTTTAAGAGGAATATCTGAGAATACATGGGAAGGAGATTAGAGCCTGCCATGTGATTGAAGTTATAGCTTGAGTTATGTGAAAATCACAGTCAATATCTCCCAGGAAACCTAAGTTCCTGTTGTGCCAGGCACCGCATTTAATGATCTTTTCCCTTGTCGAGACTCCACAGCAGTAACACCAGAGCTGCTGTAGCTTGTCTGATGGTTTGGGGGTGGTGGGTGGGGACGGAGAGCAGTGTAGAGAATGGGGCTTAGTACTTTGACCTTCTTCCTTCACCTTCTTCATTTGATACACCCGTCTTTATACAAATGTAAAATACAATGTATTATAAAATATTTCAGATGTTCAAAAAGATATGATACCAGGAATATCCATGTCCCCACCACCCAGCTTAGGAAACAACATGTACCAGATGGGACGCACTAAAGCAGCACCCCCCATCCATTTCCCTCTAGAGGTATCCACAACCCTGAACTCCGTGTGTCTGCCTAACTTTGTACTATTTAGTACCTTAGTATTTACCTCTAAATGTTATGTGGTCGTTTTATATATTTTTAAAGTTTACATAAAAGCTATCAGACTTTTTGACCTCAAAATTTGAGGACGATCTAGTGAGCGGCTTCTAATTCATTGATTTGCGTCTGTCACTTTAGAAGACACTTATGGGAGGTGGGGCAAGAAAGGGCTCTGACAGCGCAGAGAAGACAGATCGGCCTCCCTTCCAGCTCCACGCGAGGAGGCGAGTTTGTGAGGGCCGGCAGTCTCCGGTTGACCTCAAGGGCTAATGAGCTACCTGACTCGGCTTTCGCTTTTAGGACAAATCGGGCATCCTTTGGGGGACCTGAATTATGGCCTCGGCTCTACATCTGAGCAATGAGTGTAGGCCCCGTCCTGTTGCAAGGGCAGTGGAGCGCCCTAGGGCCTGCGGAGGGAGCAGCGACCGCTGGCTACCCCAGGAGCCACCTGGAGGGCCGCCGGAGAGGAGCACGCCTGCGGTTGTCCGCCGGAAGCTCTTTGTCTCTCTTGGGCTTCCGTCCACCCTCCCCGCCCCTGCGCCCCCATTGGCAGCAGTTCCAGGAGAGGCGGGAGAGGAGGGGGGCGAGTGGGCGGGGCCGCGTGGCGTCAGCGCAAGATGGCGGCCTCGGCAGCGCTGGTTCTGCGCTTGGGGAGCGGCCTCCGGCTCGGCGCGCGGGGTTTGTGCGCGAGGTTGGCGACGCCGCCCTCCCGGGCCTCGGACCAGGTGAGCGGGACGAGGGTGGTCCGCGGATACAGGGGCCCGTTCCTGGAGTTCCGGGCGGACCGTCGCCGCCGGGGACGCAGCACCTCAGGGTGCTGAATGGAACGCCGCCCGGGTTGCCGGGCGCTTCCCTGTCTCCTGGGATGGGCAACACTTGCTCCCCTGGGCTTCATGCTGGGGGCTCAAGTACGTCCTCTGGGCTCCACCTCCTTTGGATACCACGTGGGTGCTGGGGGAGTGAGTCGCCTGTTTCCCATCTCTGACGGCTCTGGTAATAATTTAAGGGGAAGGACTCGAGACGCAGAGGTCCCAACTTGGCCAGGGGGCTATTTTCTCCTCAGCGTTGGTGGTGGTGGTGAGGTGGACGTTTGGGCTTTTGATTCGACCTGCCTCCATGTTGAGAGAACCAGCCTTTCTGATACGAGCCCCCGATATCCCTGTTCTGTCCCCTCATGTGTCCTCCATTACCTTGCTCCCTGCATTCCAGTGTCCAGCCAGGCTCCTTGATCTCATCTCCCTGCCCTCCTTTTCTGGGCTCCATGTTCACCAATGCTTTTCCTCCAGGATCCTGGGGGTCGTGCCTGTCAACTCTTGAATTTGGGGGATCCTGGCAGGGGACAGTCTAGTTCTTGACCTTTCTGAGAGATCTGATTAGTCTCTTGGTTACCCCTCCAGAGATACAACCCCTGAGGCTATGTGGTGTCTGCTTCCTGGCTCTAGACCTTGATTTTTCTGTCACCAGTGTACTTGAATCACCCTGACCTTCTTTCTCTTCTCACCTGGCTAACCTGTCCCCTCTCAATTGCAGGTCGGGGAGATTGGGAGCCACGCCAGCACTAAGGCCCAAGGGTCACAGCAGCAGCGGGGCACAGAGGGTCCCAGTTACGCCAAAAAAGTTGCACTTTGGCTTGCTGGGCTGCTTGGGGCCGGTGGGACCGTGAGTGTCGTCTATATCTTCGGTGAGGGACACGTCCCTGTCCCCCAGTTGTGTTCTGTTGGAGCTATATTCTACTGCAGAACATTCCCGTCTTTTCCCTAAGGGCTTCACCCATCTTCATTCCCTGGCTCCTCCCACAGTAGAGCAGCCAACTAGAGCATCTGCCTTGAAAAGGGGAAGTCTCCTTCTTCCCTCTACCACCTCTACTCAAGGTTCCATTCTTTTTAATTGGTTCCTGCACTAGGCTACAGGGAATCCATTGGAAGAAGGGAGGGTGGGGAAGGTTAGGCCTGGGCCAGCCGCCTCTTTCTTCTGCACCCAAACCTCCAGTCCTCCCCCTAGTCCTTTCATCCCTCAGAGACCCAGGAGACCCGGTCCTTCTCTCACAGACCGAGGGATCCTGGCTACCAGTTCTCTCTTCTCTCAGTCTTAGGAGACCATGCCTCTAGCCCTCCTCCCATAGACCCAGGACTCCAGGTCCCCTCCACTTCCTCCCTCAAGACCCAGAAGACCAGGTTCTAATTCCTCTCATTTATTACTGTCTTCCTTGCAGGAAACAACTCTGTGGATGAAACTGGTGCCAAGGTGAGGTGGAAAGAGACCCAGAGGCCTTGCCAGGGGTCCCATCCTGTGGGTACCCTCCCCTTCGGTCAGTTCAGGCTCATTTCTGGTCTGGGGTGAGCCTTTCCCTCCCAGGGACCTTTGCCTACTCCTCCCAGGGTCCTGGAGATTCCTTTTCTGGGTGTAATAGGTTTTTGCCTCTGCCATACCAAACCTTCCATTTTTCTCTCTACCTCCTAGATTCCCGATGAATTCGACAATGGTGAGTAAACAAGCACAGATTCTGGGGTCCCCAGACCCGCCCTGCTCTGCCATTTGTAGGGCATGTTGCCCTCCCCATCTGGTGTCCCTGTCCCTCCTCCTTCCACTGGGGGTGGAGGGTAGGAGAGTCAGCAGCTGGATGCCTTTGGGGGAGGGGCATTACAAATCTTCAGTCCCTTTCCCTGGCCTCTCAGCCCAGGAGCAGATGGTCAGGGACAGATGGGGGGAGGGGAGTCTGGGGTGGGAGTGCTTGGGGAGAAGGGGCTGTCTGTCACCAAACACATGGCTTCCGGTGCCTTAGATCTGAGCATCTGCAGCCCCTAACCCCCTCCTCTTTATGACAGCCTCTTTTTTCCTCCCAAGCCCCTACCTCGTTCAGCTCCTCATTTCCAAAACAATGCCTCCGTCCTCCCTCACTCTTAGTTAACCAGCTTCTAGTGGGGAATTTCTGACAAATTGGTTAGTAGAGAGTTGTCAGTTCTATCACACCTGGCCCTTCCCAGGAGAAAAATACAATTGGTAGGTCCAGAGAGCCACCTGTTTGTGCTGGAGAAGTTTGCAAACTGGCATGTTAGTACGTTGGTTGTTTTAAACTGGGAAGGTAGGTAGGTAAGTATGATGTTTTAACTGGGCAGATACAGAATCATACTGTTAAATCAATATAATTTAAACTGGGTATGTAAACATGCAGGTTTAAAATATATGTATTTACTTGCTTAACTGGTTTCAGTGTTTTTGTTCTTAAAACTAAAAGTACTGTTGAATTTGGCAGTCATGTAAATTTCCCGCTTTAAGTTGTATTCCCTGTATTCATTTAAACTAGGATTTTTCAATTCAGCCCTATCGATACAGATAATTCTTTGTCATGGGGGAGTGTCCCATGCATTGTAGGATGTTTAGCAGCTTCTCAGGCCTCAAACTCACTAGTTGCCAATATCCTGACGATAAAAAATGTCTTCAGACATTGCCAGATTTCCTGGGAAGTGGAGCAAGGGAAGCAAAATTGCCTCTAGTTGAGAGACACTGGTTTAAAGTATACAGATGTATGTATATGTTCATCGTGGTTTAACTAGACTCGGCATAGTAGCTTACAGTGGGCACATCTGGAAGCCTGGTGGTTCAAAATGGACTGAATATGCTGGTATCATGTCAGCAGAGTTATATGTATGTGGGTTTTAAGTGGGCAGATGTATAAACATTATGTTTTGTGTTTGGGGTGGTGTGTGGATAGACGTATTCAGGTTAAAATGGAGCAAGTGAATGAATATATTTGTTCCTGTCCAGTGGTTATGTCATTGCCTTAGAAACGAGCTGGTTCACAGAAGGAGGGTATGTAGAGCTGTTTGTATCTGGTAGATAAGTACAGCCCCGCTTCGTCTGGAGGTTGAGCAGCGGCTTATCTTGGAATCCCTTTGTGCCCTGGTGTTCTCCTAGATCCAATTCTGGTACAGCAGTTGCGCCGGACATACAAATATTTCAAAGATTATAGACAGGTGAGCAGGAGCCCTGGGCCCAGTCATCATTCCTTCATCCCCAGCCCCCGGCCTCGTCTGAGAGCCCCCATTCTGTCCCTATCCCACAGATGATCATCGAGCCTACCAGCCCCTGCCTTCTCCCAGACCCTCTGCGAGAGCCATACTACCAGCCACCCTACACACTGGTCTTGGAGCTCACCGGCGTCCTCTTGCACCCTGAGTGGTCGGTGTGTCCTGGGGAAGGCAGCGGGTTGGGGACACTGGATAGACCTGGGTGACCACATCATGATGGTGTGGTTTGGAGCACAGACTCTGGAGCCAGACTGGGGTTTAGCCCCAGCTCCACTGTGTGATCTTGGGGCAGAGGGGTCACTCTCATTGCCTCCCTCTCCTCAGCTGTGACAGTCAGTGCCCTGCAGGTGGTTGGAAGTGTGCCTTGGCAGTAGCACAGTAAGTGCTACAGAGAAGCCAGCTTTTATGCTGGGACTCAGTCTCCACGCTCCCAGACCTTCAGTCATAGCCACAAAGACGGGAGAGCACTCTGGTTCTGGGAATCCCTCAGGCTGGGTCTTGGTTCTCTTAGGGGGTTTGTTTCCTGGGGGCCTCTGGGTTTTAGTGTTTGACCCTTCTCACTGCCTCCCCAGCTGGCCACTGGCTGGAGGTTTAAGAAGCGTCCAGGCATCGAGACCTTATTCCAGCAGCTCGCCCCTTTGTATGAAATCGTCATCTTTACGTCAGAGACCGGCATGGTGAGGCCGGGGGGTGGGGAGGGATGGCCGATGTGGCGGAAGATGCGGGACGGCTGCAGGGCCAGGGCTCACCCTGACCTTGTTCCCCCTCCCATCATACCCCCAGACTGCGTTTCCGCTCATCGACAGCGTGGACCCCCACGGCTTCATCTCCTACCGCCTCTTCCGGGACGCCACACGATATATGGATGGGCACCATGTCAAGGTGCCATGTGGGGGCCGTGGGTGGGCCTCTGGGATTTGGTGGGGCTAACACTTCCCGAGGGAAAGAAGACCCAGCCTCAACCCTGCTTCTGCCCCGGGCCTGATTCTGGCAGGACACCAGCCTGCCCCCAGCCTGGGCTGGGCCTCTAGGCCCTTCTCTCTTCCCCAGAATCTGGCAGTGGGAGTGGGAGGAAATGGGGTCTTTCCAAGGAAGACACTTGAGAGGTAAGGGGCAGAGACATGAGGTTTAGAAGCTGTTTTTGTCTCCGGCTGGATCTGAGTGTCTTGGCCTGTGTAATTGTAATAACTTCTATGAGACTTTTTCACATGGTCTGTTGCTGTCACCAGCAGTATATCCGCGGTCCAGGAATCTGTGTTTGTGAATGGGTTTCTTTGTGGGTCTTGGTGCAAGTTTTTACGTCTGAGTGTCTGTCGGGTGTCTGACTGTATCTTGGTGGATCTACATAGTTCTTCAGGGTTCAGAAGGACGTGGGCTGTGACTGAGGGCTTTGAAGACTCTGCGTCTGGGTGTTTGAGTGACTCCCTCTGTGGCTGTAGATCTGTCTGTACCTCTTTATCTGGGTGTTTAAGAAGTATCTAGGCATCGAGGTTTGCAAACTTTCAACATGCCACAATCATCTGGGGCGGCAGTTGAACACAGGTGCCTGGCCCCTTCCGCAGGGAACTTCTACATCAGCCTGTCTGTGTGCCAGGCCCAGGGTCCAGAAATCTGTGTGACGAGCTCCCCAGCTCCCTGGGGGCAGGGGGTGGTGGTTGATGCCATCATCCCAGCCTAGCCTTTGAGAGGCCCCATCAAGGTGATTCCAGTGTGCAATGCTATCTGTGTCTGTCTGTCCCCCTCTCTCTCCCTCTGTGGGCTCCTGGTGGGAAGAGAAGGGGTGTAGACCTTGACCTGACTTATCCCCCAGGACATTTCGTGTCTGAATCGGGACCCAGCCCGTGTAGTAGTCGTGGACTGCAAGAAGGAAGCCTTCCGCCTGCAGCCCTACAATGGCGTCGCCCTGAGGCCCTGGGATGGCAACTCCGATGACCGGGTCTTGTTGGACCTGTCTGCCTTCCTCAAGAGTGAGACTGACCCCTGACCTGGCCTCTGACCCCAGAGCTCTTGACCCTCAAGAGGAATGATAGATGCTTGATTCTGGTTTGTTTTTCATGTAAAACTGGGTACTTGAGATGCAGGAGGTCCACAGGCATCTTGCAGTCTTAGAAGCTTCTTAGAATGTTTGGGGTGCTTCTCGGTGTTCACAGGAGCCCTTTTAGTGTGTTGAGAAGTGATCCGAGTAGCACTGATCCCCACTCCCCCCCAATGTCTGACCCTTACCCTTGTGGACCCTGCTTGCCTCTGGCCTTGAGCTTGGCTGACCCCCACCTGCTGTGCCCGCAGCCATCGCACTGAACGGTGTGGAGGATGTCCGGACTGTGCTGGAGCACTACGCCCTGGAGGATGACCCGCTGGAGGCTTTCAAACAGCGGCAGAGCCGGCTAGAGCAGGTGGGTGCTCAGCAGTTCCTGAGGCTCCCGAAGGAGGACCCTGGAGCAGCCTGGCTCTGCTCTGGTTGTGTGGCCTCCAACAGACACCTTCCCTCCACGCCACCTGTCACGCACGGCTCTGGTAGTGAAGGGCGAGCTGATTGCGTACCTGCTTGGAGCAAACGAGGCAGGAAGCACCAGGCGTTTGAGATGGGTCTGGGGGAGGGGTCGTCCCTGATGGTCTCCAGCAGATCTGTGGGCCCTGGTTTTTTGTGGACTGTGGGTTGGATCAGGTCTGGGAAGAGGGGAACCCATGGACACTTGGCCCAAGGGTCGGGGAAGGAGTTTTGTTTGTCTGGTGTGACCCTGGTGATTCGGAAATGGGACTAAGTATGGATTGAATTTGGGAAAGAGATGTCCAGGGATATAGGCTGAGGTTGACCAGATTCTGGGTTGGGTGCCAGGAGTAGGGCCACAGCTCCAGAATGCCTGTGGAGGAGTCCCTGGAGATTTGGGCCTGGGATCCCCCAGCATACCAACAGAGCTCATAGGGCTCAGGACTGTGCACTGGGGGCCCAGGGAGCAGGATATAGCAGTCTGGTGAAGGTATTTGGGGTCCCACCAGCATCAGATTAGGGTAAATAGGTTCCCAGGGTTGAGGGGAGAGGCCCCCTGGAATCTGGGGAAGGGGATCTTGAGGGTACCAGGATTTGAGTCTGGGCTCCTGTGGCTCAGAGCTGGCTCTTGCCATGTCTGGGCTGGCGTTCTGGGGCTTTAAGGGAAAGGGTATGGTCTGGGCAGAGATTTCCCTTGGGCTGAGGGCTGGAAACTGGGAACCCTGGGAGGAGGCTCTGCCTACCCCCACTGACCCCTGACCCACCCCTCCTCCATCTGTTCCCCAACCCCAGGAGGAGCAGCAGCGCCTGGCCGAGCTCTCCAGATCCAGCAAGCAGAACCTCTTCTTCAGCTCTCTCACCAGCCGCCTGTGGCCTCGCTCCAAACAGCCCTGACCTCTGGGCCTCCCACTCGGTGCCAGGCCCCACCCCGGCCGCAGGGCAGCCACGTGTCCAATAAAGTCCATCCCAGATGCCACACTCCTGTGTCCGGAGAGTCTCCAGATGGGGGCATCAGGGTGAGGTCCGAGTGGCGGGTCGGCTGTCAAGCACAGAGCAGGTGCTTTGGTGTTTGACCCTGGCCTGGAACTCTGAAAGCCCAGGTCCCTGCTCTGGCTGTGTGTCCCATGTGCTGTGTGTGCTACAAAACGTGCATCGCCCTCTCTGGCCGCAGATCCTCCATCTGTGGAAGAGGACCACCCTGGGGGTTTTCAGGACTGCTAGCTGCCCGGCTGTCATGTAAATATGTGAAGCATGGGCTCAGTGGGCGCTGGGGGACAGCTCGCCCCATCCTGAGGGCAGCCGCTGTTCAGCTGTGCCAGCCGTGGCCCCACGGGAGCGGAGGCATAGAGTTGCTCGGTCTTCTGATTTTTCAGTAGCAGCCAGAAAATGGGACTGTTATATTAAATCTCCCAGTTTTTAAATGTTGGCTTCCAACTGAACAGGCGCTCTGCGATGGAATTTCTCAGCGTTCCCTCCACGGTCTGTCTCTGCATTGGCCGGCGGCCACAGGAGGCTGTTAAGTACTTGAAATGTGGCTAGAGTAGCTGAGGAACGGAATTTGAAATTTTGTTTTATTTTGATTAATTTTAATTTAAATAGTCACATGAGAGTTCTAGACTGGCGGAGTTCATATCCAAGTTCTACCACTTTCTGTGTGATTTTGGGCAAGTTACCTAACCTCTCAGTGCTTCAGGTTCCACATTTATAAAATAATAATAATAGTATGAACTCCAGGCTAGGCTCGAGGGCTGAGTGAGGCAGTCACGTGGTAGCTGTGTGACCCTTGGCCAAGTCGCCTTTCTGCCGCAGCTTCCTCATCTCTAAAGTTGAGGTGATGATAGTACCTACCTTAGTACAGCGGTTGTGTGGAGTAAAGGGGACAGTTCACGCTCGAACTATATATGTATACATGGGACCTGATGTTACCAGGCCAGACTGGTTAATCACAGGCCCGCTCCCCTGGCCGTCCCAGCCTCTCCTGCGCAGCCAGCGTTTAGTGCTAGTACCAGTTAAATATTTTAAAAACAGCTCTGGTGATTTTTATGATAATTAAAATGTATTTGAAACTGCGTGGGCCACATTGTACCTCTCAACTCTAGATTTGTATAAAGACAGACGTCTACAAAGCAGAATTAAGATTTATACCCCCACCCGTCAACCCTGAGGTGTGCTGTCCACAGTGCAGGGGACAGTTTCCAGATGTCTTTAGAATTCCCTAGCTTGAGGATCTCTGCAGCACTGAGGGAGGGAGGGAGGGAGGGGCCTGTGTTTTTTATTTTTGCATGTAGCTTTGAGAATTGGAGACGGTCTTAATTGAAAGGTGGAGACCAAGGCTGATGTTTGGGCAGTGTGATTCCGAGGAGAGGGAGTCGTCACGATGTGTGCTTGCCTAGCACATGGCTGACACAGCCCCATGGAACCTTCTGAGGAGCCTTTGAAATGTGGCTCAGATCTGCCTACCCACAGGGCGTGGAAGGAGGAAGTGTGTCCTTTGGCCCCTATCTCACAGTGGTCAAGAGTGGCCCACGGGGAGGAAGGCTCAGTGCCCAAGGGGTTCCCTCAGGCCTCTCCCCCCACCTCGGGGCTGGCTCAGGAATGGTGCTGTCAGGCCAGGCCTGCTGGAGGCCGGAGGGGAGGAGAGGGTTTGACCTTCACACAAGTGGCCTCTGAGGCACTGCTTGGGCAACATGACCTACGATGTCTTCCTAAAATGTGCTAGGGCTGTGTCTTGGCACCATGCAGGACTGGGCACACATCAAGGCAAATCTCAACAGGGTCTGAATTCCCAGATCACACACCACTTGAAAGCCTTGTCCCTGGTCAAGGTCTCAAATTCTTCAGTTTTCTCATAAGAGGTTAGTAATAGACCTCCCTCATTCATTCATAATCTCCTAGGCACCAGGGTGTATCAGTGAACAGATCACATAAGAAACTCCGACCCGATGGAGCAGAAGTTCTCGTAAAGGAGACAATGGTCACGTAGTTCTCGGGGTAATAAATGAATAAAGAAAAAGTATGGTCAGGAGATGGAGTGGTTCAGAGACTTGAGGTGCTGTGTTACATGGGATGGAACAGTCAGGGAAGGATTCTTGGGAGGGTGTGTTTGAGCTGAGACCAGAATGAAATGCAAAAGCCATGTATCTGCGTGTGCCCGGCATGGTCACCTCGGAGCCTTTGCATGCTCTTCTCTCTGCCGTGAATGGTTTTTTTCCCCAGGATCCATGTGGCTTCCTCCCTCCTCACCTTTAGGTCTTTGCTCACCTGTCATCTCAGCATGGCTTTCTGTGGACTCTAAGGTCAGCACATAAGAGAAAGTCCTGAAGAGCCAAAAAGAGGCTTAGAAATCCCTGAAAGTAAAGTCCTTCACACACAGACATGAGAATTCACGTGAAATCCCATCGTGCCTGGCACAGGCCTTCGGTAAAGGCTGGCTATTTTCACAATCTTTAAAATGTTTGAGATATCAGACCTGGAATCTGTTGCCCTCCCGTTATTATCCGGGGTAGGAATTTCCCTTCTCCCACAGCTAGTCTGTCTAATGGCTGTCCAAGTTCCATTCGAATGCCTCCCGTGATGGGAAGCTCACTCCACCTACCCAATACAGGGCCTCATTTGCCTCCCTGTATGTAACTGGTCAATGAGATTTGGCTCTATGCTTTGGGGCCACAGAACCTGTTTAAATAGGGGGGATGTGAGAAAAGGGCCTTAAATGTCAGCCTTAATATCTTGATGTGTATTTAAAAGGCACTGGGGAGCCATGGGAGAGTCTGCAGTAGACAGACAGGGTCAGATTCGTGTTTAGACCCGGTAGACCAAAGTAGTCAGGGCTGGGATAAGGGGATCACGGGGGAGCTCAGAGAAGGTGCTGACCTGCTTGGAGTGTTGGGGGAGGGCTTCCCACAGGAGTCGTCTGAATGGTGAGAACAAACAGAGAAGGGAGTGGAGAGGACACGTGTAGAGGGAAGACCTGTGCAGAGGAGCCTCGGGTGTTCTGCACGATTTGACCATGGCCGTCTGCTCAAACCTGTGACTCCTCAGGGTTAAGAGAAAACTCTCGATGGAGTTCTTTCATGAAAAATTACTAAGTACTTACTGTATGCCTGGCTCTGCTGGGCTATGCTTTATTGATCTACTTCACTAACAGAAAAAAAAATGCTTATATATATGTATATATATCCTGTATTTCCCCTATAATTATTAGCCTCTAAGTATTAAAATTTTTATTTTGGGGCGAAACAAAAAGAGTTTAGTCCATCCGAAAGGCTTTACTCGGCACTTGGCATAGAGTGAGTGATTATGACCAGAGGGCCTGAACATCTGCTCCTTGCTGGCTTTCCTTGCTGTGGTCCCGGAATACTAAGGGGCTTCTGAAGGGCCTGGAGTGCCCCCCCATTCATCCTGGAGTGAGGGAGCCAGCCCTGGATATGTAAAGACGGAATTTCCTGCCCATTTGCCCCTCACACCTTCCGGAGGCCAAATGGGCAGCCCAGCTGCAGCCCAAAGGGGGAGGGGCGCCGCCGCCCGGCAGATGGCAGCATTTACATACAGCTGGGAGCCCCCTCGGAGGTGGGGGGGGGCTCCTCACCCTGGCGTCTGGTGCATCCATGATGCAGTTTTGGGAGGGTAGCTTTGTCTTGGGGTGGGAAACAAGTCCACAAAGAACCTTGGATCTTCATTTTCACACACAGCTATACCCAGTCTTCACACACACACACCCTCATTCATAACCTTGTGCAGACCCTCATTCTCCCCCAACATACCAGGCCACTTAGAGGCACCTGCACAGACCACAAAGTCACAGGTTTACAGGACTACACACGGTGGTCCAGGATCTCACATACACTCTTACACATGCACAGAGAAGAATGCGCACAGGCACACATCCTCAAGTCACACAGTCATGAAGTCACACACACCTCCATTCTCTTAATGCAGGTGCGCGCGCGCACACACACACCCACATCTTAGAATTATTTCCAAACGGGTTGTTAAGGTTGCATATACAATTTGAGGCACACATGGAGCCACGTAATCTCACCTAGACGATCACAAAGTCATGTACACTCTCCCGTAGCTCTTGCTCACACCACACACAGAATTTTAACATCAACTCACAGATTTACTCCCTAACCTCACCTCATCCTTAGCCACACACAGTCGTGCCCACAACTGCACACAATATCATACACACTGCATTGCCTGTGCCTGTGACACAATCTCATAGTTTCTCCAGCCTGCTCCCCTTCCTCTCGACCTCCTCCCCTAGGGTCCCCTGGAGCCAGGTGGCTGCCTGAGGGGGTGGAGCCATCCCCTTAGATATAAGACTTTGGAGTCAGCAGCTGCGAGCCGGCTCCCCAGACCTCTAAAAGGCCATGGTCGCCCCGCGGATGCTCCAACTCCTGTCCCCAACGGTGATTCTGGCACTCTTTTTCCTTCCCCAGGTCAGAGCGGAGTGGAAAGGGATGGATGGGAGGGGGTGCGCCCCAGGGTTCTTGGGGATGAGTCTCGGCGGATGAGATGCCTGCGTCCCCGCAGTCCCCTCACCCGGTACCCCTTCTGCCCCAGGCACGACCGGCTGGTGTCTTCGAGCTGCAGATCCACTCTTTCGGGCCAGGACCCAGCCTGGGAACCCCGCAGTCCCCCTGCAGCGCTGGGGGCCCCTGCCGCCTCTTCTTCAGGCTCTGCCTGAAGCCAGGGGTCTCCGAGGGGGGCGCCGAGTCCCCGTGCGCCCTAGGCGCAGCACTGAGTGCGCGTGGACCAGTCTACCAGGAGCAGTCCCGGGCGCCGGCACCTGACCCGCCACTGCCTGATGGCCTCATGCGCGTGCCCTTCCGGGACGCCTGGCCGGTGAGAGACCCAACCCGAGCCCCGGGGCACTCCGCCGGTGCTGGGGCCTTACTCGAACCTTGACCCCTTTCTGACCTCCAGCTCCAAGACACCAACCCTGCCCCTCCATCCCAAACTCCCAGACGGGTAACTTTTTCACCTGGAAAAAAAAACATTCTCAGACTCATAAACCCTACCCACTGGGAACCCCAAATTTTCTGACTCCAACTTGCCCTCTAGGGATCCCAAAAGTTCTGATCCCAGCCCTGCATTGTTGGGACTCCAAATTCCTGGAACCCCCAACTCACCCTCTGGAAATTATAAATTCACAGAAGCCTTTCTCTGTTCCTTGGGGATTCCTAAATACTGAGATCCTTTATCCCCCAATCTCCTTGCACTTAGGGACTCTCCACACCCTGTCTTGGGGACCACCCCCACAGTCTCCTCTCACCTTACTCCTTCTCAAATCTTCCAGTTGGGGCCTGAAAGAGTATTCATGACTCCTTCCCCTCCAAAATCCTATCTCCCATCCCACAAATCCCAAATCAGAGGTGAACAGACCTGTATTTGAATTCTAGACCCTTGTCCCTTTGGGCAAGGGACTTTCCCTTTCCTAGTCTCAGTTTCCTCATCTGAGGTCATCTCAGTAACCCACAAGGGGCCATTTTGAGGGATTCGACAGGTTACCTTGAGTATAGTGCTTACCACTTAGTGCTCAATAGAGAAAGCTCAAACTGTCATTCCTTCCCTGGGCCAGCCCCTCTGGGAACTAACTGTCCCTTGCCTGCCTGGTCCCTGGAATGGTCATCAATCCTGAACTCTGGCCTTCATCGAGTACCGGCCCTGACCACTGTCTTCCATTCTCCTCCCCCCCTTTCTCCACCAACCAGGGCACATTCTCTCTCATCATCGAAACCTGGAGAGAGGAGTTAGGAGAGCAGATCCGAGGTGAGTGTTTTCAGTCTTGGGACTGCAGTGTAGTGTGGGGGCTCCAGGGAGCTGGGGCCCGATATGAGGTCCAGGAGAGTGACATGGGGCTGTCTGTGGGGTGGGGCATCCACAGGATTGTTGGACCCATGATGTCATCACAGCTCCTGGAGAGGGGTGCTTGGTGTTGACAACTCCAGGGCTCTTGGCATGTCAATACAGAAATGTCCTGTCCTGTCTTGTCCTGTCCATGGTCCGGAGGCAAACGGAGGAGGTTCTTACTATCTTGGAGCCAAAGCCACCAGAGCAGGATATA